ATATATATATATATATATATATATATATATATATATATATATATATATATATATATTGTACTCTCTTACTTGATCTGATAACATCTTCACTTGTGGTATGTCCATGTAATTATGAAAATGTTGCATCACTTCCATCACTGCTTGTAGCGGTAAGATAATTTCTCCATACAGTTTCTTTTGCGTTAATACTCTGTAATAGCAAAAGGAAAAAACATAGTTGATTAATATTTTTTTAAAAAATAAGTACAACATGATACATTTAATTCATGTACATACTTCAAAGTATCTACTCCTTCGACAAGCATGTGCAAATGATTCAGAGCTGTAATTGAAGCAGTAAGATTTCTCTTAGCAAAATCTAATTGCTTAATATCTCTTGTAATTTCCTTCACAACTTCCTCAGACTTTTCAGCTTTATCTTTTATGTCCTTTATGTGAACAAATAACTTCCCTATTACTTTTTGTGCATCTTCCAATGCTGCTCTACCATCCTGCCCTACATTTGTTTGACCTCGTACCACTGACCGTATCTCTTTGTCAATTGTATGTATTTCAAATTCCATTTTATTCACTACATCATCGATGTTGGACAAAGATTGTTCGGTGGGGAATAAGGAATTTATATAGTCCACCACATTGAAATTTGATTGGTCTAACGGATCATTACTAGGCAAAACCTGGTAATAAAAAAGATATTACAATTATGCAATTTATGTAACAAGTATTCATAATTTAAACACGTTTCGTAATTTTACATATAATTAATTGTGGTGAGTCGCACATTTGTAAACGTCAAAGAAATTGATGCTGAAAATAACAGGTACGAAAAAGAAAAATATTTTTATTAAAAGAAGAATCATACATCATACAGAAAAAATTTTGAGAAAAGCTCAAATAGGAGAATCTTCTTGCCACATGTTCTATATTTCACGGGAGAGATAAACAAACATCTCGAAATGTCGATGACAGAAAGCATCGCGACCTCCACTACTACTGGGATACACTACTGGTCGAGTTTGACAACAGATTCAAGTGAGGAACCTAACCTGCTCGATCACATTCTGCACGTTTTGTGGGAATGTATAAACCGTAGAGCGCAGCTCTTCTAAATCGTCCTCCTCGTGATTTTCCATTATGCTGCCGGCGTACACGAACTCGTAATTTTACACGAGCATCGCATTACAACACTCGATCCATACATACGGATTGTGACAAGATGAGTAAGAGGCAAGTGACATGTTTAGTGACGTTTGCAGCAGCGCGACGCGGCGCGCTTATCCAACGCAAGTAATAGGTGTTGCGTAGACGGCGCGATGGCGAGACCGATCGATTACGCTACATAACACATATTTTATAGAAGTTCCGACAGTAAATAATTCGTATTATCTCTCATACGTGGTCTCCGAGACTAATTTCAAAAGTTGCTCACCCATTACATTCGAATTTTCTACCTTTTTCTTTCCGACCCAATTCCAGACAGTTTAAAGAGATTGCCCCGTCAGTTGTTTATTATTTAATATATCTTAACTTTGTATGTTTTTTACATGTAAAAATAGTTTTATTGCGTGCGTACTTATATGAGACGCTTAATGCGACATTACATAGGTCAAGCTGTAACAAGCTTGAAAAAAATAAAAAAATAAAGTCATCTCTCGTAGCAAAGTTCCTTTTATTAAAGTCTATCAGTAGAACAACAGCTGAGGTCACCTTCTCGAATGCTTAATAGACTGAAAATTAAATAAGAAACAAAATAAAATGACTGAATCGATAATTAAGACAAAATTAATCCTTTATCAAACGCAACGCCTTTATCTACGCTTTTAATAATCGCGACGTCTCTTCCCAGTGAACAGAAGCTCTCAAATCGACATATTAGCCATGACTCTTAATGATATCTTATTAACATTATGACTTCTTAATGATTATTATTGACATTATGACCTGTTGATGATATCTTAAAGATAGCTAATGCGATTTGAGAGCTTCTGCTCACTGGGTTATTATTTTGCGATGTTAATCTTTCTGACGATTCGTAGCAATATGCAATATGTATAAAATTATTAATTTAATTTTTTATAAGAATCAATTGCTCTCTCAATTCCCAGTTGTATTTCAAGCAGGTCCAACGTGATGATTAAAACGCGAACAAATAAGAACGGAAAGCCAACGAAAAGTAGCCGTCTTCGAAAACCAATTTTCTATTTCGTGCGTAAAAAAAAACTCAATTACACCGAGTCTTTGATACTGATTTTCCGTTCGGCAAGTCGACAATCAGGGTGGGCGAGCAACCCTTTTATCACGCAAGTGTGTTGTATTTTCTTCTGATTCCGTCGAAGGTAATAACGCGTGGCAGCCGTTCCGGCTCCGGCATCGTCGTCATCATCATCCCTTAATAAATCGCGAAAGGCGGCCGCGAGTTCCGCCTGGAGTATACGTCGCGGCGCCCAGCGCCGCGTCGTCGCGCGTCGCGTCGCTCCGCGTCGGTGGGGGTCAGGTCGGTCGAACGGGGAACGGTCGAACGATCGAAAGGCCCTGCTCTCTCTCCTCGAGCTCAGTTGTAGCGCCGACACGGCACACGAAGTCGCGTCGTAGTTTAAAGGCACACTCTGTACAAACTAGACACGCACGCTCTTTTTTTTCTCTTCCTACGTATCTCCGTCTCGTCTCGTCTCGTCTCGTCTCGACCTACCTCGCCTCGTCTCGTCTCGCCTTGCTACGTAGTGAGCAACAGATATACGGACATACGTGCACGTAGAAACGAAACCGACTTCTACCAAAAAAAAAAGAAAGAAAGAAACAGAAAAGCGAAATGCAGCGCCGGGCCGGTGATTGGAGAAAAATCCTACTCGTGTATATTTTGCAATTATTTTCATGTAAGTGAAGCGCGCGTGTGGACGCGCGTGCTCGCGCTCGTTTATATCGCTTTCGATAATCAACATCGCTCCCTCCGCACGCGTGTACACCTGTTTCCTTGTGCACTCCGTTCCTCGTCCCTTCGAAGCAGGATGCACGTCACCTCGAGGGTTGGCACAGCGCCGGCAGTCGGAATGACCGAAGTCACTCGGCCAAATTCGTCCTCGCGGCTGCCGCGTCGTCGGGCGTGAGCTCGTCGTCTGACCCGGGCTGCGTTCACCCCGCGAAGAGTCCTTGAGATTCGCAGGACGTTTCGTCCGCCGATTAGCGGCCGCCGACCGGCGGCGAGAACGATTTTTCCTGGGCGAAAATTTGATTGGACGCCATCTTCCCTCATCCCTCCTTATTTTCGATGTTAAACGTCTTGGCGATCGAAGTGTCATATTTTCCATATCGACTGTTTAATGCATTCGACGAAGAATAAGGTTTCACTGACGATTCCTCGCGTTTTCCGACGTTGCGGAAAGCTCTGTATTTTCGATTTGTCCGCAACCGAAGAATTATTGATGTCTCGACACTCCGTGGAGAAAAATATTGACTCCGGATTGATCAACACAAAGGCGTAGATAAGAGTTTCTCGGCGGAGCTCGGAAACACTCCGCAGGGGTGGGTCTCACTCTCGCTAGTCGTTTGAAAATAATCGTGTTCTCGTCTCGGCGATCTCAGAGAAGTGATATTTTATTTCGATAACACACAAAATTCACGAATTTTGCGAAATGTCTCTACTGAGAGTCGACGCGTATAATTTTTCCGAATAAAGAAAATTCGTCCTGAGAGGTGAACACCTTCGTGTCTTGTTCTAACGTCCTGGTGTCTCGTTCGCAAAAATTGCGTTGTTTCCGTTGACAAACGATGATGGTGGATGTTGCGAGTTGCGCAATTCAGCATCCTGACGTTATTACACATTTTGCGTTGCACAGCAGTTAATAGTTCAGTACATCTCTACGTGTCCTGTTGTTTTCGTGACGGAGAATAATTCTACGCCATGTTCCGTGGGATATTTTCCGGGAGCGTATGTGGAGCGACACCGTTAGCAGGGTCTCGACGATATGTTATACTGTGGGTAAAAAAAATATTTGTACACTTCATCCATTTTGGAATAAATTTGCACAATAGAGAAAAATATTTTTCAAAGTGTTTTTGCTGGAATATTGCTTTTATTTTCTTAAATTGATATATTGAATTACACTGTAATATCTTTCTTTCCTTTTTAATGTGTACAATTAACCTGAAAAATACAAAGTGTACAAATACCTTTGTAATCTACACATTTACTTCTGAATTAGTCGTTACGAAAACAATACCAAAAGTGGCATTTATTTAAATAATCATAGTTTGCGCCGTTCCTGTGCTACAAATCTTGCTGTTAAATAGAGCATTACTTTCAGAGATAAATAGATAGATATATTAAAAAAGAGAGAGAGAAAGAGGGAATGACGTTAAGCTAGAGAAGTGTTTTGCATTATTTTACACATCACCATCCATGCTTTGTAACATATTTTACCGGCTACTTTGATATTATTTTGATTTATAACAGATAATATTGTTTTCAAAGCAATTAATTAATTTTTTCATAGAATAACGAGACGCGGCGGCACAAAGCCGTGGTAAATTGACAAAGTCATAGAGCGAATTTTTTTTATTGAACCGCTTAAAAACGTGTATATATGTGTTCAACGCGTCACTCTCACCCCTTTAAAAAATTCGACGGTAGAATCATTCGACTCGCTCGAATCGCGTTCACGCGGAGTTGAATAAAATTAGAACTCTTCGTTTCGTGTGAGCATACGATCATTCATACTATCCAGTAGCAGAATTACTACAATGTACTACATTTACTACGAGTCTTCAATGGCTTCTATTTAGGCATATGTACGTACATGTCAATACGATGCATGAACGAAAGCCGAATACGCTCCAAACACTCCGGCCGTCGCACACACGTAATTTTTCATCATTTGCTGACACACACCGCTTGTGCCCGACTTGTTTGCCGTCACCGCCTTTTAGAATGTTTCGTTTTGCACGATCGTCCCGTTCGCATAAGTGTTTCCATCACGAAGAGTACCATAAATTCTAGTCAGCATTCGTGACGAAAAGTGACTTGACCTAATTCAACCTAGTCTAGCCCGGCGTTAAAGATGCGTATGCATTGCTAATGTGTGCATTCATTATAGACCCGAACGCATAAAACATTAAGAATATAAATCGAAAATCGATCGGGCAATAATCGTAATTTTTGTCGCACGTCGCGATTGTACGCCGGAGTAGCGTTCGAGCATATCATTTGTCAAACAAACGATCTCACGGTAATGTTAAATCGATGATATGTTGCAAACGTATTTAACAGTGCTTTGTCATCGTTTCCTTCGCGGTGGAAACTTTGTACAAGTCGGAGTTACCGCGAAACTAGAACTATATTCGCTCTACGCGGGAAGGTAATGTCAAAGGAAATGCTCGACATTGCTGTTTCCCGAAATTCCAACGGACAAAAGCTCTTGATAATAGTCCACCGCTATCTTAATCATTAATCGCGAAATTCCTGCTCTTTCCGAAATTCCGTCGTCCGTTGGCCCTTAACAATAGTACGCCCGCGCGATTCTCGAATTGTCAATTATGATTTCTCTCTCCCTCTCTCCTCTCTCTCTCTCTCTCTCTCTCTCTCTCTCTCTCTCTCTCTCTCTCTCTCTCTCTCTCTCGCGGGCTTGGAAATAATTCTATGATTTTCTCGCAATTCGTGCTCAAGTTGCTACAGTTTGACGATTAAAAAGTTTGGAGCCGTACAGCTTTGCGTTCATATTGGCTTTAAATTAAAGTTGCCAAAGTTTTCCTTTGTGAATATACAACTGGAACTATATACGAGGTAAATAAAGCAAAAAGAAAAGAGAGATGTTCACGGAATGATATTCAGTGATATTCAGAGATATATATCTTGTTCATTTAAAAATATTGCGATATATATGTATAACGAAAATAATTTAGATAATTATCAAAACTGCTACAACATAAATTTATAAAATAAAAGGTAGTGAAACTTACACTAGAAACGAGAAACAGTCCAGAATCCCACATATTTACCAAATGCACGCAACAGTTTTTTTGTCGCTAAATAAGTAGTCGGCAATAAACGCAGAGTGCAGCACACGGTCAATATATCGAGAATCCAATTAAATCGAAAAGATCAATAAATCGATTTAATTAAAACGGTCGCAAATACGATTTATTTTTTTGGTTACTCAAACAGCGCGACTTCGAGAGCCATTGCGGAAAAATCAGTCGACTGTTTATCGACTCGTCCGAATTGCGATTTTATTCTATTAACGGCGTAATTTTTTAAATGCAATTTTTGTAAAGGAACTTTTCATCACGCCAAAGTGAAATCATGACAGCTATTTGCCGAGGGCATTTGTATCCCCGAGATTACGCGAGATCCATCGTTGACTCATATTTTTTTCACGCAACGTTTCATGCAAAGACCACCCGATCGCGACATATTGAGATAGCGATGCAATGCCAATAGGAGTAGGCTTCATTCAAGTGCTCGCCGAAATATTGCTGGACGCGCCCGTGGAAAATCGCGAAGTATTAGTATTATCTAGCGACACGATCGACCTCGAAAACAGGCCTCTCGTCTCGAAACGTCTCGAAATAATACCGTGCGTGCGGCGGTAACGCGCGCTTTCACTCTGATCGATACAGTAACACCTCCCAGCAACAGGGGCAGACTGCCACAAGTAGTTACGGTCGGCCGAGGGCTCTCCATTCTTCCCGCCGGATTAATTCACTCGCTGTCGTCTCACTGTCGCGTTATACAGCCTGTTCTATGAAAATCGAATGCAACATGATCGCCGATCGTGTTTAATCGAAATGCCAAGCGGCGATCTGACGTTCCGTCACTATTCACTATAATTTACCTCGTAACAAAGTTTCATGGGCGGTCGGCTTGAAGTAAGAGACGCATTTGCCATTTTTCGCGCAACCCTTATAGAAATATGATACTAAGAATCATTGATAATTACTTATTTTTAGTATTAAAAATACTGGATAATAAGTAATTATCAATGATTCTTAGTATGATATTTCTATAAGGGAAGTTGTAGATAAGTTCCACATTTTCTTTTCCCTGTAGATTCTTCAACCATTTCGGAGTTGATCTTTTCTTCACGAAAATGTCGAGAATTGGGTAATTCTTTAGTTACTGTGCAGGAAATTGGGTGATTCTTTAGTTACAAGCGATTGTAATTGAACGATTTTTGCTGATCGTGATTCTTCTGAATGTGCGAAGCGACCGGAGAAATTTTATTCTCAATTTCGAATTTCTACTGAACTCTATTTCACCAGATTTTAAATTTGAGATCTTTAGTGGCACACGTGGGGTATAACCTGCGTGTAATCGAATATAGGTTTATGGGTTGCAACACCCTTCGAAGTTAAACTCGACGTAGTCGATTCTGAGCGAATGTCACGCAAACCATAGATGACGTGAACGCGTCGAATAACGATTTTATGACCTGGAAAACCTTGAGTTATTTTTTCCGTGTACATCATTTTTCTGACATGTCTGAACGATTGTGAGATTGCGTGAGCTTTAGACCTATAAAATATCTGAAACAGGAAATAGAGTACATAGATGAGGCATGAAAAGATTTGGATGTATGAAAGTGTAATTAAATCTATCAAAAAATCTAATCAAGTGCAAAATTCTCTTGCCCTGTAACGAATGTCTCTCTCAGCTACGAAATTGAGCCCTAAATTCTCAATTTTCCACTCTCTCACGTACGCTCGTGTTGCAACTCACGTTGTCATCGTAAAAACATCAATCAATCGGGATATCGTCGGGTCGCGCGACTTTTACTCGCACAGCTCCGAAACAATGTTTTGTTCAAGTGCGGCGGTTATCGACTCTCGTGTCGATTGCCAAAACTACACGGTGGCACGTACGTACGGTTGTTTCACGATTTTCAGACGCGACACCGCACATGAATGTGCAGCTGATTGCGCCGCAATATGTAACATACGGCGATACGGCCACCCTAGTTTGCAACCACACTGTCTCGGAAGAGCTGCTGCACAAAATAGAGTTTATGAAAGGCGAAAAGAGGATATTCCATTATGTAAAGGAAAGGAATCCGCCGTACATCGGGAATCACGTCGAGGGCGCTAAACTGGAGGTGAGCGTGGCAGAATGTTGGCGTGCGCACGAGAAATCATGAATTTTCAAATGTATCTTTTGCCAGTATCAATTTCTACAGCTTCTTCGCATTATTCTCTTAAGTGTGTATTTATCATTATTTTCAACAAACAAATTGTTAAACGACTCATTGAAATTAATAGAAACGAACAAGAATAGTAAATGATAATTCGTTTATTTTTATATGAAATAATTGCACATTTCTGTGTATTTTTTACAGCACTGATGAAAGTAAAAGTCCAATAGTTAATTTTATCAATGTGAGTTAGCTTGAAGCTAAATTTAGCCTGCTTTCTGTCCCATTATAAATTATTCTCAGCTCTAAGGAAAAATGAACGATTGATTAAACCCTAAAAGGCGGTTAATGTTAATAAATTTTGCTGAAACTGCTTGTAAATATCTCACCGACGCGTTGCTATATTTGGCCTACGTCACTTTTGCTTTGAAGTCCATAATTATCTCAAGATCATATCTTACCGTCGTGACTAGCATATCGGTTCGATAACTTCTTTTGCGTGAACTTTACGCCCAATTTGTATGGCTGATACGTTGACCTTTGCACCTTATTTCATTCACACAGTTTTAAATATATCCATGTCTACATGACCACCTTAGACGTGAGAACTTAAAAAGAATTTTTATTTTCGTAACGGAAGTTAAACCTGTCTCGCCGGGAAGGTGGTTGAATCATTACGTGATGGTTGCAATTCTGCATATATTTGCAATATCCAATGATTCATCAAAAGAATGCGATTCGGCAAGCATCATCCTTGAGTTATAATTAGTAATATAATTAGTAGACGGATATAATCTCCTAAAATATCTTTTAAATTTTTATATATTTTTCGAACCCTTTCATCTTCAATCTTCTCAAATATTTTTCGAATCCTTTCTCCCTCATATTTCATTAAACACTTAATATTATCATTGAAATGTCAAAGTAACAATCTGTATTTAGGTAACGTGATGCCGATTCATTTTATGAACAAAAGTTCGTAGATTTAGTTTCAATTTTAATTTAATTTAATTTAATTTAGTTTACGAAGCTGTAAAACGTGATGATATTTCCGTAACTCAAAAATTAAAATTCGTGTTGTTCTTACTTACGAAGTGAAAACAATCGTTGAGTTTCTTTCGATGCAATCGCGGCGCCATATTTAACAACATCCTGTCGTATCGAACTGATATCAATTTTTTCGATCTCTAGTTTACTAAGTATCGAACGTGTTTTGCTGCGAATATATACTTTTTTCTTCTTTGTAACTTTTTTTACGTCATACTTTTGTTACGTCACCTTCTTATGCTTATGTAATGAGGGATCGCTTTTTTTTTAACCTGCCGTCTGACATTACCACGACAGGCATAAGTGATAATGTTACTAGCCTGCGTACTTCTCACGTTGATACGAGCTACAAGAAAAACCATCTGTTGTAAACAAAAGTCCAAAAATAACTAGGACGCCCTCGATAACGTAAGCTGGATGAAATGTCCAGAGTCCCCTGTCTTTCGCCAATGGTTAAGGGAGCGAGGCTAACGCATTTACCTAAGGCGTAGTCTTTATGTATCGACACAAAGCAAGGCTATTTACGTGCATGTACGTGCACTCTACCATACAAATACCTCTTCTCCCTCTCTATCCTAACAACACCAAGTCGCGACGCATGGCAGAGCAATTCTCTTCGCAAATTTTCGCGACGCCTATGCGGTGCAAGTGTGTGCAGCGAATGGGTAATCTATTTAAACAAAGAAAAGGAAGAAAGAAAAAATGAGGAAAACAGGGATGAGAATCGATACTCGCACCAACCCATATGTAGAACATAATGTCGTCAAGTCGGACGCTTGGCTAATGGATCGACGCATAAGTAACGAGACCAGTGTTACTGAAAATAAAATATTCATTATTTGCGAGAATGTCAAACCGTCGTCGAGGAGCAATACAAACGCTAAAAATATTTGTAACACTTTCGCTGGTAATTGTTGTGTATATTCTTCCCGTAATACTTCGTGCATGTTGACTGCACTCGGCGCGCTCATGACGCCCCGGCACCTTTATCTGCCTTTTCCTCGCCGAAAATACAAATCGAGCGAGTTACGCGACGTTACTTTTGAGGGAGACGCTACCTCACAGTTATCACGGTATATCACATGAAAGGTGTAAGCATGACAAATGAGCCACTGAGAATGATGTGCATGTAAGCTACTTAATAACGAGACCGAGTTAACGTAACGGTTCCCACAGGAAGCTCTCTATCTCTCCAGTCACTGTCTAAATAGTATACGGTGATTATTCAACAAGTGGTAACAATGAAGAAATCATCGTAACTTATTATCGCTCGAATTACGGAATTATCGAGATTTTTCGTCGAATAAGAACTTGAAAAATTTTTGCTCCCTTCCACAATTCGAATTTTTAGCCTCTTTGGCGAATTGAGGTAACGTTTAAATCACACGCGCCAAAGGCAACAGAATCCCGATAGGCACGGACTATACATAGAGAGAAAGCAAAGCGGCGAAACGATCGTGAGCTTGAACTAAATTATCCAAAGTGTTCTATTTGTATTTTTAGAGCTTTACATAGTCTCGTTACTTGTGCATCCACTCCATATAATTGAAAGGAATGCATGTAACAAATCCTGACAGAACGTGTCGATAAACAAAAGTATACTAGGGCTTTTGCTTCAAAACAAGCACAAGATACTTCAGTTATCAAATGTGACATGCGTAAAAACAAAGAGGCGACATATCTAGAAGAAGCGAAATGATATTACGACGTATGTCGTATGCGCGCACATGTGTGTCTTATTCTTTCTGTGCAAGCACATAATTCTTCTTTGTTTAATTGCTAAATTCGAGGAGTCAGAAAGCAAAGGAACTACAAATATGAAAAAAACTACGCTTTGAAAAAAAGCAACTTTGCCACGACATGTACGCTTGGATCGTCTTTACCAGGATTTGTTATTTGTGTGTCCTTTTGAAGGGACTCTTAATTGAAAGGGCGTGTCGTACAATCGCGCTGCATACCGTAATAATCGCCAAGACATCGCTGTTCTTTTCCAGTACTCGAAGAATGGCACGACAATCAAACTGCACGATGTGCGTTTCGAGGCTTCCGGCACTTACACCTGCGAGGTGACTATGACAACGCCCATTTATACCGCGGGTGCCGATCCCGTGCAGATGAAAGTGATAGGTGAGAGAAAGCATATACTGTGCAAAAAAAAAGAAAATAAGAATACCTTCCCGCTAATGATATCGATAACATAAGAGTTACAAATCAGATTTAACCACTAATAACACGATTGAATATATAATATTTATATCAAAGTGTTTGAAATATTTTTGATAAGTGGCATGCAAATTACATAGCTTAATATACATCTCATAGTAAAACATCTTCAATTTGAAAACGTCACGATCTGAGGGAAATATCGATTGGACGTGATTCCCGATTTATATCGGCTACTTTCGATATTCTCTTCACAATTTCTTCTAGTTCCACAGACCAACAATCCTAAGATTACGTTCAAGAAGAGCGTATACGTGATTGGCGAGAGTCTGGAGGCGAACTGCAGCTCCTCGCCCGCACGCCCAGTTCCTTACATAACGTGGTTTATAAACGGGAAAGAGGTAAGGAACACGATTGAAGAGATTGCGTGATCTCTCGCTTCAGACGATTGTCAGATCATTTCTAATCGGCGGTTCCAGGTGGATATCACTCTGGTGAATCATTATCCGCACACGCATCATAAGGACCACCTGATATCCGCCACCGCGAGATTGAAAGTGGAGGTTTCTGAGTTGCACGCCGGGCAACATGGATACTTGGAGATCAGCTGCCGGGCGACGATACCCGACTTTCCCATGTATCACGAGCAATTTGCCGATGTTAGGAAAAAGACGGTGTCGGGTGAGTATTTGATAAAGAAAATAAAAAATCAAAGCGTCTAAATGTGATAACCATTATAAATACGATGAACCATTAAGTACGTATGACGTTCGTCTGATATATTGATGAATTTCGAGATATATGACTTGCCCGGTTTTCTAAAACGAGAAGAGACGATTCTGTAAATGTAGATCCTAAAAGTGATGATAAATAGTGCAATCTCGAATGAAGTTTGAAATACAGAACGCTTTTCCATTAATAAATTATCTATTTTCTTAGCGCAAAAATGACATTTTGCTCCAAAATATTCTTGTCTTCATTTATCTCATATTTGTCTCGTAAAGTTTACGTATCTTGTCTAATTTGCAATTTTTGTTGTCAACTTTTTTCGTTGTTTTTTATATTATTCATAAATAATAACAGCACGAGTGTCGCGTTACCTGAATATGCGACTTGTTTCAGTGCAAATCATACCAGCGCCGGATATGACGTCTTCCGCGGCGATTCTCATACGAGAACTAACGCTACCTACGATATTGTGCATACTGAGCGCGATGCACAAATTCATTCCTTAATAAAAGTCAATTGCTCTAGGATAATTCGGCTGTAACATACGTAATCGTAAGGTATTAAGACGAAACGATGAACGTAAGATCGAACAATCACAATGTCTTCCTTCGATATATCGAAATACACGGGGGCAGCGGTTTTATTGTCTTTGCAGAAGTTTTGTAACTCATAGACGCGGCTTCTTCGTGCGCAACTATTTTCGATTATTGCTTATAACGAGCGTCGTCTGTCTCGCGAAACATATCAATTTCCATGAGATGTAACGAACCCGAATGTTCGGTAAGGTGTGTCGGAAAGTTATGTCCTCTTTTTCTTCCGGACTGATCTATTTGTTTCGTAGAATGTTCAACCTCGACGTTTCTAGCTGAAAACTTGAGAAGCATGAAACGAGGACTGCGCAAAATATTTTCTTATCCGCGGTCAACCGATTTTGACAGATAACTCATCGATATATCGCTGAATTAATTGTAAAATGTGCTTTTGGGAGAACAATCTTTTTTCTCATAGACTCGCACGCTGTGCACAAAATTTCATCTAGTTTCTAAAATTAAATGTGACTTTATTAAATATAAGGAGATCTCTACGTAAACACATAAAGTTACGACATAGTTTTCCGATACGCGTACTACAACATTTCATCTAGTCTCGCCTCGCCGTTTGGAAGCATCGTATTTTTCAAGCCCGCGAATATACGTTCTTGTTATTGTGGCGCATTTTTACAACGATCATGCAATATGTCATCCGTGAGCGGTCAAAAAAGCTTCAAGATCAGTTGAACCCGTTGAACGAATTTATTATCTATTTTGAGGCCACTTCTTCGAGTTATTTTATTTATAGTGCTGCAACGAAAGTCGAGCAAACTGTAACTTGCGACACTCGCGAAACAATTTCTCACGTTCTACGTCCCGTTTCAAGATGCTCGATATCGATATCGTCAACTTTCCGACAATAATTTAGCGAGATGACGTCTTTTTCACGTCTAAAATAGCATAGATATTAGAGCAAATTTTCACCGTCATTTCACCATTAACTAGGAGCCTGGAGCTCCCGCTGGAAACATATTGTACACGAGGGATTCAAAGCAAGAACGGCGTAAGTCAAGTATGATGGTATCTGAGATACTTACACTTTTGCGTGCTTCACATTGAAAAATATTCTCGAGCTATTTTCTACTTTAATAAATTATATATATATATATATATATATATATATATATATATATATATAATTTCAATCATATATGTAATTATTTAATAATATAACGAAAGAAAAAAAAGAAAGAGAAAGGGAGATACACATGATCGTAAAAGTATTGACTCGGGCTATTTTTGCTTTCAACTCTTGATATATATCTCACATATAACGAACTGAGAAACGTCAACGGAACGGGACGTACGACGCACTTTTGTATTTGTATGAAATTTCCTATAAGGTTCGATGTACTTCACTAAACAAGAGGCAAGCTTGAAAAAACACTGCGTCGACGGCTAGGCATCTAGAGAGCTGCGAGAAAGTAGAAATAATTAGAGACACTCGAGTTAGAGTCTGGTCAATGTGACAACGGTAAATCAATCAATCGCGCTTTATCAAATAAGCGGACGATAAAGCATCGTGATTTCTTCCGTTTGATTTAGTCGATAAAGCTTAATTAAACTTTACGGTGAGAGCTGGCCAAACCCTGACTCGACTATCTGCAGAAGTAGCGATTACGGCCGTTGTGCTTCGCGGCCAACTTTTTCGAAGAAATGTAGGGCGCGTTACTCGACGTGACGTGACATGCGATAAAATACTCCGATGTAATACCATCTCTTATACCTCACACCGTTCGGTCTCACATCGAACGGTTCATTGCGACCGAAAGCGTGGGATCATCTTTTGTCCGTGCTTAAGGCTTCTTATGCGAGTAACGTGCGAGTCTCAACTCTTTTTTGGCATTTGTATGGACCAGCGGCTTTGGCACAATCATATATCATTTTTAAGAGTATAAGGGAATCGTAAATATGATTGTTGAAGCTGCTGATGTACTTCGAAGCGTGCCAAAGATCACAAAGGGTTACGTCAGTGCGCCGGAGTGAACGCAAACGACGTTATCGAAAGCCTTAGTATAATCTTGTCCTAATCTAATCTTGATTATTGGTAGAATGCGGAAGTTTGTGAAAGCGACGAGCTTTCCCATTTGGGTGGTCCAAAAAGGAGGAGGCCATGCAATATTCTATCCAAAAGCTGCAAATTGATCTACGTCGACATAAGTTTACGATTATATTACGAATAGATATTCGTGAAATTAAATATTTTTTTGTTATAACGATTAATAGAAGAAGAAAAAGTTAAAGGTGCATTAGTAGAATGATGGATCAGCTATAGTCGGGACCGAAGAGATATTAGGGAATAACTCAGACTGCGTAGCGCGCTTTATAGATTAAAGGATACATCTATTTATGATTAATGAACTTTTATACGTATTTCATATCGCAACTTTTTGCTAAAATCGATACGACTAGTCCAATTGATGTCTGCAAATTCTCGTATGCTTTCAAACTTGCAATAAACGTAACGTGTACATGTATCGTTTCTTAATATTTTATTATATTTCTAGCGTAAGCGAGCAATGATATTATCTAAGCAAGGTTTGAAAGCTTGGTAACGACATTTTCATTCGGAAGTGCCTTTTCATATCGTCTGCAAATTAGAAAAATCTCGAGCGGATATTAGTCTGCTGGGTGGCGTTCGCGTGAAAAATGAAGCCGTAACATTGACGGCCAAGAAAAAGAAGACGTCACCTTATCGACGAGATTACACTCTCTAATAAAATCGCTCTTGTTCGTCTCAGCGTTTGCTCCAGTGCACTGAAGACTCGAAATCTATTATTGCGCAAATTTACGAGTTTGCTCTTTCTAATTACAGTATCGGATTAAATATTTTGAAATTTTTATATCATTGATTCTACACTCCCCATGTATGAAAAATTGTATTTTGATCACTTTGCATCGATTCAACGATATAACAAAATATTATTATGCTCGTCTTTCTACAAAAAATTGTAATTTAGTATGCTCGTCTTTCTACAAAAAATTGTAATTTAGTAATATACTATTTTATTAAGTTCTCATATTATTACATAAAATACGTTTGGTCTCGTATAACATAAGAAAAATATATAAAAGTGCAATTAAAAAGAGCAGATCTAATACAGGACACATATTATGGAACTAAATATTTGAAATCGATTCCGATCGGAATAATTTTATTTTCCCTGGAAGAAACAATATAAATCTAGGAAATGACGAAATCATTTCGATTAAAATCGATTCCATAATACGTGTTCACATTTGCGTGAAAACAAACGACACGTAACGCGGGAAATAGAGGATCCTGCGCTTTTGCGGCGTTTCGTGCGACGCCACGATGCTCGTGATGCTCGTCCTGACGTATATCTGTCCGATTTCCTTGGTGACCTGCGAAATGAGCACGACGCTACAGGAACTCGCGATCGACGAAGTAGAGGTGCGCATCGTCGGCGGAGAGATCACCAACATCAAAAATTACCCGTTCATCGTACGTGCGACGCGCCCATTGTAGCCCCTTAACCTTTAAACTTTTGGGATTCAATACCCTCCCACGCAACGCGGCCCACACGTAGCGGAAGTGCGTACACACATAATGGAAGCCGAGAGTTCTAACGTTAAAAGCGAGGGAAATGCAATGAAAGTTGGGAATGTTTCATGTGAATATAACACAAACCTGACAAAACAAAGATACCTACGCGAATGCGAATGAATGAACTTTTAACTACTGATGACCTTTTCCTCAGCACTCTTCTCTTGTAATGAAAACTCAGTTCGTATCGTATATTTTTCAGTTAACAGTTTACCAGAATGAATATGACGAGGTATGCAAGCTTTTGATTTACATATCGTAGTAACTGTATTTCAATGAAATGCTATTCATTCGTAAAACCCACCAGCATGAGAACTTAGTATGTCGTTTTTATCTCTTTTAAAAGTCCTACTTTAAAAGTCCTACTTTAGAACTTTATACAGAGAGAGAGAGAGAGAGAGAGAGAGAGAGAGAGAGAGAGAGAGAGAGAGTCAAGTCAGATTTTCGTTCATGCATTTTCCGCGCTTCTGAACTCGCGCTTCTGAACTGCAATGCAATTACTTGTTTACATATGTTCGACAGACACTAGAGAGTATACGGATACACTTTACATGCTCGTCAAACAAATTAATGTAACTATTCGCACGGCGTTCTCGAGATACCAGGAACCTCAATTTTGAAATGAACGAATATTACTCTGGAGAATATAAACGTAGAATGTAAACGTAGAATAGAACACAGCAAGCACCACTGTGCACTGCTAAATTTATTATGAAAAAGATAGGAAAAATTTAAATTTATTTCTTACAGAGTAAAGTTTCTCTTCAAATACAATTTATCATCAGTATTTATTATATACAATTTATACAGTATATACAGTATATACAATTTATTATCAGTATTTACAAAAAATAAAGTAATAGGCACGCTCGCGCAATAAACATAGAAAATTGATAAACGTGCACAGAAAAAAAAGTTTTCATCGGAAAATCTCACAATTTTGTTCAAGTTAATAGAATTTCTGGTTATCTAAAAATCTTGCTTAGTTAACCAAAATTTTGTCAACTTGAATAGAATTCTGGTAGCTTTAATCGAAATTTTAGTTATTTCACCAAACATTAGATTAATCCTACTAAATTTTTCCGTGTGTGATTACTTGTGTGATTGAAATTTAGACAACGTCGAGAACGCCGTATTAGGAGTTTACTTCAAGTGCAAGGGCATGAAGGTTAAGGGGCGAACCGACTCGACTCGGACTCGGCGAATCCGAATTTTTCAAAGTCAATTCCTCTTAGGTCTCGGTGCAGCGCCGACTCTATAGCCATGCATGCGGAGGCACCTATGTCGCGCCTAGGTTCGTCCTGTCGGCCGCCCATTGCATGGTCAGGTGCGTGTCACAAGACTGCGTTTTCGCATTCGCGCTATGCGTCGCGGAAGGTGGTGTAGTTCTCTTTCTCTCTAGCCGGGGCATACACTTTAGCATTCGCTACGAAATACTCGTACACTCTTGCGTGTAGCCACCCCCGACACAGCTTTTAACCCTCGGATGCGTGAGACCCTCTTTTGCACAATGTTTAATTAGTATCGCGGGGGTCCCGCGGATTAATCCTAGGATTAAAACATGATGTCCTCTGAAACCAGCGACGGAGGTAAAACGGGGGTGAGAAACTTGTGAAAAATTTTCAACATAAGTAAAACCACACGGAGCGAAAAGCATTAGTGCACGCTGCTTTTTAGTTTAATTCTCCGTTGAAATTTATCGTGTGATCACTTGATTTACGTATAATTGAAACGTATCGTAAACTCTATTTTGTGTACTTATTTGTTTGTTTATTATTTTTGCAGATATGTATGTGCAAAAGCAAACACATAGAAGCATATTTAATTAGGAAGTACGTAATCTTTTATCGATTTGCAAAGGCCTCCGTGGCCAACTTTAATTAGGAAGCACTGCCATATCGTACAGCGAATTTGTCATCTTTTCATACTTTTCTGTGATACAGCTCTCATAATGTATATGAAATTGGAGATATTGATTTACGTTGTTTCATATTGTTAATTTTTTTAGGGAAAACTGCATGTCGTTTGTTTCTTTTAAGTTATATAAAGTTTCATAAACGTTAAATGAATTTCATCAACTTTAAATGTCCTTGAAATAAAAGTAACATTAGAAAATTTAAGTCATAAAATACAATTCCTGATTTTAATTGCCATTCGAAGTGTGTACGATACAAAATATATTTTACATCTATTTCATGTAATATTTCCTCGTTTGCTTTTTATACAGAACGTTATTTAGAACATTTTAGCCTTACATGAAATTTCCTTTAATGAGTAAAGAAAAATGTCTATCGCTTTAAACTAAACTTTTTAAAAAGCTGAGAGAATCGTCGCGATTAACTCTTAAACGCAGGACTGTATTCTATGTGATCTAAATCCCTTTTAGACTTAAAGCAAGTTTCGCGAAAGAAAAAGTCTTGAAAGAGGAGATCTCTCCTGTTGACTGAGATATTAATTATACTTCGATATTCTCGGGAATATAATGATTATGTACTTGTAAAGCGAATTTCGAACGCCCTGGTAAGACATTTTAGGATTACACCACACAAACACATACATACACACGAGGTATTAGTAGCCGTATTTCACTTCCTTGCTACTGCAAATGTACGTGTAATGTTTGTGCATGGGAAATGTAAGGCTTGAGTTTTTGACACAATAATGATGTGTCTTACGGAGGTATAGTTGCGCTACCACTTGTGAAAGACAACCGGGCGAGTCGACGAACTTAAATTTTCAGTGATCTACTTCGGAAATATCGCGCAATATACTTCTAAAGGCGAGAGAAGGAGAGAGAGAGAGAGAGGGAGAGAGAGAGAGAGAATCTTTTTAATCGTACATGCTCGTATGTTCCATTGAAATAAAATAATATATATATATATCCGTACAGCAATTGTGTATTGTGTAAATCTCAGACGTGTTCACGAATGGTAGTCGATTTATATCGCGTCACCAGACTACGTGGAAAAAATATTTGAATTTGTATTTTCGCTACTAAATGGAATCCTTCTGTGAATTATAGTATACAACGGCGGCTGAGCGGGATCGGGCGATAAATTGATTTCAAGCCGGGTAACACCGGGCAGAGACATAGTACGATCGGGTATAAGAATAACTGCCTCATGACAGCCGCGGTAGTTACTCAGCGTGCTACATTTTGATTCATCCCGTTCGCCCGCCGTGATTACACCTTGTTTGTTTCTGACTGTGAGTAGCGATGTGCTGTCTAGACGTATATATTTCACGAGTAACGAGGAAGGTTAGCGGCGCTAGACCCTAAGGCAACGATATCTGTCGCGGTATCTATCTGTGTATCGATTAGCTGTGTACTAGCGATGATGTACTACTCGTGCGAGCATAGTTTCTGTTTTACGTGTCAGCTCGGCCGCCCGTGATTGTATGCGTGGGCTAAATCGGGGCCGCAATCGGACATCTGCTCGTTTTTGATAAAACTAGTTATGCAGCATGCTCAAACAATGAGTTCAAAAAACAAAGAAAATTGGAGTACAATTGAGGATCTCAATTGTACAGATAAGAACGAGTTTATATGTCAATGATTCGAGTGACTCATCTTTTTTCAATCCGTATATTCCGTAAATGAAGTAGGAAATCATTGCTTTCAACTGACAAATCCATGCTGTCAACTTCCTTTTAATTTTCAAACTCTCTCGTGTTTGACTTACAAAATAAATTACTTTTATATTGTCAAGAGCACTTATCGCCAAAAAGTCTCTTTGGAATTACATTGACATGATTATTTTAATATTTTAATTATTTCATGGCCTTATATAAGTTCTACAAGTTTGTCATCTTATTTCAATGTTTCATATACGCATTGAGAAAAAACTGAATCAATATACGATGTTGTCGATCACAACAGTAAAATCAGGAGCGTCTTGACATTCACGGGGTCCGATTGTGCCTCACTTTCGCTCACCGCTCTGATGTTTAGGTGAAACAAAACGGATATCATTAATTCGTCGTTGTTTAAAAGACGGTTGTCCGACGGCACGTGGAGGCCAGAGAATCCACGGCAATTCTACGTGATCGCCGGCGCGACCTATGTGTACTTACCAAGCTGGGGTTCCATGCAGATGGAATTGATAGACAAGACATTGCCGCACGCAAAGTTTCGATTCTTGGACATGCAACACGATATTGGATTGTTCAGGGTGACTATTTATGCCGTGTATATAATTCTGTGTCGATAATAAAGAGAGTAAACCTTGTAAATGGCGCGATGGCGATTTTAACTGTCACCCACGTTTTGCGCTCTCGCTCCCGACAGCTGAGGAGGCCTCTTCGTACGAATGCGTACGTTCAATATGTTGCGCTCCCACTGGAATACGTCGCGAATTTGCAGAAAATGTATATAGAGCATTGCGTCGTGGTTGGATGGGGTCGACACATACCTGATTCAAATGTACGTTGTAAATACGTAGCATATGAAAGTCAGTTAAATTGTAATGTGTAATCATGATGGAGTCACTTCAAATCCTGCAGAGCGATACTCTCCTCTTTCCGATATTTATCCAACAGTAGCTGACACACGAGTTTAATTTATTTTTAGAAAATTGACTTAATTAATTGTGATGCTATTGTATAAAAATATTTGTTCAGCTACAGAGATTTCAGTGAAACGTTTACATTAATTCTTTCGTTCTTAAGAAAACTGAAACACAGTTTCACTCCCGGTATCATGTAGATCTAATTAAGTATGTGTGACTTGTTCGGTTTATTTATTTGTAATTTATTATTAGAAAGGAAGCGGGACGTACTTACGGCACGTTCAGATACCCTTGATCTCAGCAATCGAATGTCCAATGCCAAATGTGCACAAAGAAGCGCAAATATGCGCCGGTTTGCTGGAAGGTGGTCGCGATGCCTGCCAGGTTTGAGTTTGAACTCTATCGATTGGAAGTGCTTGTTAAAATGACATTTCTATCCGTTTTACGAATTTTTAGGGCGACAGCGGTGGACCATTGATGTGTAATGGAACACAAGTAGGCATTGTATCCTGGGGCGAGGGATGCGCCCGTCCGAATACAGCGGGCGTATATTCCCGCGTGGATTTTTATCTGGATTGGGTGAACGAGACTATTCAACGGAACGGAGTCTCGAAGTACTCATTTCGACCCGTGACTTCAATTGTCTTCGTGATTTATTACTTGTATTTGTTCTTATCGTGTTAATTGTATATCCTAATTGTCATATGGTATGAAGAACAAGCGAAGAACGCATAAAGCTATAAAATATACAGATAATGTTTTGTTAATTATTTTACAAGAACTTTGCGAGAAACAAAACAAATCTTATGGCGATATGTTGCATATGTTTTGAATAATTTTATTCCTTCTTTATTTTTCGTTAAAAAGATAAATTGCTGAATACAAGTGAAAATTATCTACTCTTATACATGTTTATTTGACCCTTAACAGTTTATAGTTTAATAAAGACCGAATTCGTACCGACATTCGGCACCGTGTCATTAATCACGTGCAATTAGTATTGGCACTATTAAAAAGTATTGCTTACGATAACAGTAGCGATATCATTTTTTATGAAGTTCTGGTATCATTTAATTATATCTCAAATCAATGCCATCGATGCAATCACTGCTATCGTTATCGTGAGCGATACAAGAATAACATTTTTAACAAAATAAACTTGTTATCATAGACACAGGATTCCTTAAATACGGTAAACGCTAACATCGCTAGACAGATTGCAACTGTACAGTGAAGAACGATACATCTGTACGCATTTGATATGTTGTAACGAGTTGCAACGGTATATATTCTAAATTAGAGAATTTCTACAATACTGTATTTTAAGCACGGTGAAATAAAAAAAACACACATTCGGACCAAAATTATAAAGTGTTGAACTGTTGTGTGAGTAAAATACCAAGTAAAAATAAATATATCGAAGTACGATATATTTATAAAAATCCTTTAATATAAAATATATACGCTGTTGTAGATTAATACGACACATTAAGTACCTATCAGGAAATTTGATACGCTACGATGTTATTCACAAAACTGACGTTTCTACTTACGGTTTTACTTTTTGGCACTTACGGTGAGTTTATGTATAACAAATAATTTATAATTAATATATAACAAATAAGAGAAATATAGGATTTTGCTATATATAAGATTTACTATACATTCGCGTATTTCACAAATTTAATTCTTATTCAAACTATTAAATATTATATATTGTTTAAAAATAAGAAATTTAAAATAATATTCCTTAAAACTTATAACTTTTTATTAGGACTCGCAGCGCCGAAGCATGATAAAGTTGTCGTTTGTTACGTCGCATCATGGGCAACTTATAGACCGTCTTATGGCGCGTTCTCTGTAGAAAATCTGCGCCCAGAACACTGTACTCACTTAGTTTATTCATTTGCTGGCTTAGACACTGCAACTTGGAGCATCAAAAGTACCGACCCATGGACAGATATAGAGAAAGATGGTAATTGAAATGAAAAATCAAATCATAATTCTCAATTATTATAAAAAGTCAACTATAATAATTTAAAATTATTGTAACTAAAAAATTTTCAGTAACATTGAATTATTCACTATAATTTTATAACATTATATTATTTATTATTTCTTAATTTTGTTGAGGATTTTGTTAGTTCGATATAATATGATAATACTAAACTCCATCATTTTCGTAAGCGCTCTATAATCTTGTAAATATAATTTAAAAATATCTGGATAAATACAGGAATAGGCAACTACAGGAAAATGACAGCTCTCCGACAACAATATCCACATCTCAAAGTAACACTCGGTATCGGTGGGTGGAACGAAGGCGGCGTAGGTTACTCGGCACTCGCTTCGTCACCGGATCGTAGAAAAATTTTTGTCGCCAGCACTATCCAATTTCTTAAGTGCGTCCGCTATTATATTTATGCCGACGATAATGAGATATCTCTTATTATATAGGAAATTGACTCTACAAGAAAGAACGTTTCTCAGCTGATAAAAGCTTCTATGATATTCATTGATCAATATACTGTTTTTTCATATCTATACAGTAAACACTAACTAACAATACTATTACACACGTCAATGTTATAATTTCTCACTCAACAATATGCAACTGTTATATATATATATATATATATATATATATATATATATATAT